GAAAGCCAGGGGTGGCGTATGTCCTGCCCCCACGCTGGCTGGACTCGTGGACGTGGCCACGTGCCTCAGGGCGAGGGTGTGGGGGCGGGAACGGCCCCCGGACGCCTGGGCTCCTTCCCATTTTGGGGGGTTTCCCTGCCCCATGGTCGTGCCCCTCACTCCTGACCTGCAACCCCCCTCGTTGCTCCAACATGCTCCTCACCTGCAGCCCCCCCATTTACCCCCTGGCGGTGTCCCTCCCCACGCACAAGCCCGCTGTGTGCCACGGCAGTGCCCCTCACTCCTGACCCACAGCACCCCATCCGACCCACAGCCCCCTCTCATTGCCCCATGGCGGTGCCCCTCGCTCCTGGTCTGCAGCCCCACCCCGTCACCTCCCCCAGCAGTTCCCTGCCTGACTCCTCTCTCCCCATCGCTCCCTGGCAGTGCCCCTCCTGCCCCCTCTTGCCGCGGTGCCCCTCACTCCTGACTGGCAGCACTCCTGTCGCCCCAGGGTGGTGCCCCTCGCTCTGGACCTGTGCCGCCCCATCCCCTTGGCTGCATCCCCAGTGCGGTTTGTGGTCGTTGCCCTTGGCTGCTCAGCTGGATGGGGTGGGCTGGGGCGCCTGGCTTCTGGGGGCAGCAGGGCGCCCTGAGGAGCTCGTCAGCCTGCACACCAGTACTGTGCCCCCCCTCCATTTCCCCAGCTCAGCCAGGCTGGGCTGGGCCCCGCGGGGGGAAGGGCTGCAGCTGCTTTGCCGCGCCCGGGTCCCGCGTGCAAACCGCAGCGCTGAGACGGAGCCGAGACGCCCACGGCACCTGCCCCCCCCCCCATGAGTCAGTGCCGCACTCCTCCCCTGCTGGAGAACCCAGCTCTCAGCCCACCCCCCGTCCTGGTCCCACCTTACGAGGCCTGGCGCCCGGCTCCTACGAGCTTTAATCTCCTGGGGCGGTGAGAGCCCAGGGGTCTGAGTGCCAACCCTGCCCCATCCTGAGCCAGCAAAGCTGGAGGAGACCCCAGGTGTCCGGGCGCCCCGGGCCTCCGTGTTTGAACCTAAAAGGCCTGGAGGAGAACCCAGGCGTCCGGGCTCCTACTTGCTGTCACCCACCAGGCCCCCAACCTCCCCTCGTCTAAGCCAGCTCCGGCCCCCGTGTACAGCGGCCTGCTCTCCTGGTGCTGGAGAGACCCCAGGTGTCTGGGCTCCCCTGCCAGGTTGCTCCCCTCCCAGTCTTCGGTGGCACCCAGGCATCTGGGTGGCACCTACGTGGCCTGCCTGGGGAAGAGCCCAGGCCACCATGTGCTTTAACCCACCTGGCCTGGGAGTGAACCCGAGCATCCGGGCTCCCAGCCCCCCCCACCCCCCCCATTTGAAGCCAAGAAACGCGGAAGCGAACCCAGGCGTCCGGGCCTTGTACTGGGTTGAACCCAGGCGCCCGGGCCCTCTGCTCGAACCCATCAGACCCTGATCCCCTTCCTGGAGCAGGTAGAGACCCCAGGCAGCCCGGCTCTTCTGCTCTAAGCCCCTGGACCCTACTCCCCTTCTTGGAGCGTGGGGAACCCAGGTGTCCGAGCCCCGCTCTCTCAGGGCTGGGTGGGCCCCAGGCTCCCCCGCCCCCGCTGTATCGCACTGGATCCCCGGTTGCACATGGAGAGCCCAGGTGTCCAGGTGCGGCAGGGGGTCCCTGACACCTGGTCCCCACCTTGCAGGAGGATGGAGCCGGCGTTGCTGGCGCTCGGGGTCCTGGCACTGCTGCCCCCTGTGGCTGCCCTGCTCTGCGCCCACTGTCCACGGCGGTCCCCACGTGGTGAGTGCCCGACCCCCCTGCGGCTCCCACCCCGAGCTGGGCGCAGAACCCCAGCATCCATTGTGCTAGGCAGAGGACCCAGGTGTGCGGGCTCTCCTTCTCTGAGGCTGGGTGGGGGGGCCCCCAGGCTGCCCTGAACGAGACCCCCAATTTCCCCTCCCCTCAGGTCCAGAGGCCATTGGTGACTACGAGTACAAGTGAGTCTGTCTGTCCACATCTGACCGTGCAGGTTTAGGGGT